GAAGGGGGCTGATGGTAATACTACGGGAATTAAATCAGTTATCGATTTTGCGCGTACCCCTTGTCCGGGTTCTAAATGGCTACATGGTAATAATGCAAATAGATTCAATATTCAGGGTTATTCACCTAATGGAGTCATAATTCTAGATAACACATCATCGAACACGGTCAGTATGCATCTTACACACTGCTTTTCTTGCATTACAGGGTTAATACTTAATATGAAATATTATTTTTGTCCAGTAAATTTTCTACAAAATATTTATTTTCTCTCTAACTATTCTAAATCCAAAACTGGGGTGTCACTCCATGTGTAGCCTGGTGTGTTACCTAATTACCATAGAACTCTCGAACCAATTGATGTATGCATGTGTACATGTGTAGCCTGTGTGCCCTTACGAAAATTTCCTATAGGATCCTATAGGATTCCTATAGGATCGTATAGGATCCTATAGGAAATCTTATAGGATCCTATAGGGCACATTTCCTATAGGATTTCCTATAGGATCCTATTGGAAATTGTTGTAAGTTAAAATCTTCAGAAAAATGCATATCTTATAAACAAATATCATTCTAAACAATAGATATTTGATATAGGTAAATTTTATCACTTGAATTGTCAATTATATATCACTATTAAAGCAAAAATGCTTTTTTATTGTTTATAATGCACAATCTTATAGTCTTTTATAGGATTCTATAGAAATTCTTAAATTTCTATTTTAAAGAAATCTTGAAAAAATTGATTATTTGTAAAGTAATCTTTTATGGAGAAATATTTTATCATTTTTATTTTTTTAAATTTATGTTCAGACCATTACAAAAATTCCTATAGGATCCTATAGGAAATCTTATTGGAATTTCTATAGGACCTATAGGAAATCCTATGCTAATTCATACAGGGAATTTTTATAAAGGCGGGTTGAATAAAAATAATGAATCTAGTCTAAATATCAGTATATAATTTTAATTTTTAATCTATGTTCAGACCATTACAAAAATTCCTATAGGATCCTATAGGAAATCTTATAGGAATTTCTATAGGAACCTATAGGAAATCCTATGCTAATTCATATAGTGAATTTTCATAAAGCCGGGTTGAATGAAAAATAATGAAACTGGTCTAAATATCAGTATATAATGTATTTTTACTTTTTGTGTGATCATATTCACTTACTTCATATTTCTTCTATTATATTGAAAGTCAACCTTATCTAATCAGATTTTACTTGACCTTGGCTGTTTTAAAAAGTGAAAGTGCAATCCTGCCTAATATATAAAAATATAATGTAAAAGTAAGTGAACATTAAGGGTAAAGTACTGTCCCTCATAAAGGATGGAAAATGAGGACAAATTAGTATGTTTATAAAGATGCATTTTATTATAAACCATGCTCAATCACTTGTAAGGTTTAACACTCAACTGATGTTAGCTAGAGAATGCCCTACTCCACCAGCCATAACCACGGATTCAACAACTGTGATTTTTTTGTTAGCCTGGCACCTATTATTAGGTCACTACTCCTGTAGCTTTTGTTACATGTACACTAGTAACAGTAACCTCCTATTAGGTGTTATCAGATGTGTGGTATCCTGTCTAAGGCTTTGTTTATATGAGACAAGCAGCAAATGAGTATACAGCTATCAAGACAGTTTAAATTCAGGAGCATAGTGGAAGGGTACAGAGTGTAGAAAAATCGGAGTGAGGAAGGTATGTATTACAGTAATGCATTGGATCATTTGGGCATCTAATCAAATTGAAAATGAGATAATTGATCTAATTTGAAGTGTACCTTGAAAACATCATATCTTTATTACATTAAAAGAGTTATAATTTATAATGTATAGCTTCCTTTTTAGCCAACAAAGAAACAAGGATACATAATGCAATCACTGTTTAGTCTCTTTATTTCTTGTAAAACTGTGCTCATCAAATATTTCTTTAAATGCAGTTGAATCTAAAAAAAAAAATTACATTTCATTTAACTTTTGGTTTGTGATTTATTAAAAATTATCTATTTAATGTTATCCACAACTGCCTCCAAGGGACCATCATGATATATAACTGAGAAAGACCCATGCTAATAAATAACATACAATTAACATGTTAGAGGGGCTGTCAGGGCAAATTTCATTACCTCACATGTTCTTCAGGATCGTTTATTTGCCAAGTTTTCTTTCCCTTTAATTTCTTTTCAACCTTTAATGTGAGGTAAACACCATAGTTTGTTTTAAAATATTTTTTGCTAACCTATACATAATGGAAATGAAATGTGCATTGTGAAAATCTGACCATTTTGCTTACACAAAAGCTTTAAATTTTAAAGCTCTGCAATGGCCCAATTGCATATTTAACCAGAGTAGAGTTTTCTCCACTGCAGATTTCTGCATTTTAAAATTCTTTTCTGATTGTTCCTGTGGGCTTGGTCCTATGAAATATGTTCATTTTCTTTATATTTTTTTTTTTAAATTATCCAGCTTTAATACCTTGTCTTTGAAAAAACTTCAGTTAACTAATAAAGGCTATGAATTGCTCAAAATAGAATTGGTGCAATGATTATTATTGATCTCATTAGAAAAAATTTCCTTCATCATTTTGCATTTTTGTAGACATGTACAATTAATTGAAATTCACAATGTCTTTCTTTCAGAATGCGCCTGCAAATGGTTCAACACAACTCAGACGGAGGTTAAGAAGGCTATCACAGTAAAGTTGAACAATGTGCAAAAGACTTTTGTATGAAATTCTTCAATTATTAAGTGACTAAAGCAGTATGCTGACAATGGACACGGTTTGGCCAAGGGAGGTTTTAGCCACTCATTCTGGCAGGAGTTCGAACCTACACAAGAAAAAGACAGTGACGCCACAGCTTGACATTGTTGGATCCTTGTGATAACTTATAGAACTTATAATTAAAAAGCAGTAGCAACACCGTTAAATTTGCAAAAATCTATGAAACAATTCTCTAGTAAACTGGTTGCATACCATACTGTGGAATATGTACATACATTTATACATATTGAATAAAGAATGTAAACATGATACTTCTTTTGTTTTGAGGGACCAGTGCCTATTACCAATTTTGCCAAAGATCCAACAATATATAAAAAGCTGTAAAAATATTCAAAGCAGTTAATATGAATTTCTATAGGTTCCTATAAGATTTCTTATAGGATCCTATAAGATTTTCTATAGGATTTCCTATAAGATTTCCTATAGGATTTCCTATAGGATCCTATAGGAAATCTTATAGGAAGTCCTATAGGAAATTTTCGTAAGGGACATGTACATGTGTAGCCTGGTGTGTTATGTAATTACCATAGAACTCTCGAGACAATTGATGTATGCATGTGNAAGGAATTAATCATACTTAGCTCATGACTTCATAAGTCTGCTCTTACACTCGCATGTAGCCACAAGCCATGAAAGTGAATTAAATGTGCTATTTTTACCATCAGGAAAGCAAGGTACTTCTCGCCCTGGTTAGCCAGCTGCCGTAGGTGACTGACTGACCTCGCAAGATGATAGCATCTGATGATTCAGCCACAGGAATGGCAGCTACATGGAATCAGTGACGGCTTACATTAATCAACTTACATTAGTTGCAAAAAAACTGATATCAGTTTGCATAATATATATCTTGTCTGTGAGAATTGTTATAAACTTTGTTTGTATGAACTTGAGGCTTGGTTAAAGCTGACAGTGTCCCCAAAATACTGGCACATAGGAGACGGTTGTGACAAGGAACTAGTTTAAACAAATAAATAAACACTTTAGCATATTAAATAACTAGAAAAAAATAGATAATTTGAATAAATCTATTTAAAGTGGATACATGAGATAAAGCAAATTTGGAGAACTTACAATTAAAAAATACACATTCGTGAGATTTTGCTTTTTGTAACTGGAGCAGATTAAAAACATTTATCCCAGATTAAAAACATTTTCACATTTCTGAATTAAAGACATCATACTTCTACAGTTATTCATTTATTTACTTATCCCTTATCTATTATCATTTCTATTTATTTTGTAATATGTTAAAACCCTTTACATTAGACATAATTTCAATTTTCAGCAACACAATGTGGGTGTTTCTTATGCCTGAGAGAAGAATGTGTTTATGTCTAGATTAAAAAATTAGAAATGAAGTGAATGAACAAGTTTAAAGGTTTCTTTGCTTGAGTTAGCTGAAGGTTACTAATGTAAGGCATTTCCTGCTCCACAGGCTGTAAAAAGTTTAAATTTAAGCCAACAAGTGAACCTTTATTTTCCTTCAGTTTTCATCTCTGCTTTATTTTTATTTTATACTAAGATGCATATCAGTGTGCACAGTTTAAACAATTATCTTGTATGAACAGCAAATATTCATTTGAACTTAAATGATTGTCTCAGTGAGGAATTTCTTGATAACTATTAAAAATTAAAGTAAAAAAGATACTTGTTAAAAAATTACTGGTGTTACCAAGAGCCATGGCAATTAAACTTACCACTAAAAAAGCCTGACAACATTTTGTCACTTATTACATTCACAAAGAATTCCCTGGATAAATAACTTTACATGGCTGTAAACAGGTTATTTGACAATACACATTAAACAGGTGAATGAAAAAATATATGTATACAAATACAAAGTTGATAACTGCACAAATAAAAATCCCCATAAGTAAAAAGTGCTAAGTGAATGAGAAATTCAGACAATCTCTAGATAACAAGCTAAGGTGGATTTAGATGGCGCCAGTTTCCAAAGGGGGAGAAAAGACACACAATAGGGCCAATAAAGTAGATGTATGTTTCATAAATTCAGCATTGCAAAAAACAAAAATACACCATCTTTTCAAAAGTATTCTTCATAAGAGTGGATGTGCAAAAAATTTTTAAACCCCTTCCCCCAGCATCTTGATTTCCTGGATCTGTGTAAGTTTCTGTATGGAAATTTTGAACAAACAAATTTGCTGTATAGACATGAATCTTATAAACCTCCTAATGCAGTCTGTGAATGGCAATATGCCACAGTCCCAGGCATAGGTGTGATCCTTTAATACAACTTACATCTCAGTTTTACCAAGGAACTAGATATCTACATGAACCTCTATGGTCTTACTGAGTTATCTTCAAAATCATCGCTATTGTATATATCATTGATATGAAGCACTACATCAGAATCAGTAGAAAGATTGCTGCCTCTATCCTTACCTTCATCCCCTACATCATTACTGTTTTTAAGTTTTGATTTCAGATCTCTTAGATTGTTTTGCTGGAAAAGAGCTGCATGGTTTTCGTAATAGTCCTTGTCAATTTCTTCTCCTTTTACAAGTTCGAGATAAGATACCTTAGGTTTGCCCCTTGTATTTTCAGACACGTCTAAAGTGCCATTTTCATCTTGTTTCAAGGAAAAGGTCATTTCAGAATCTTTGTTTTTACCATTTTTTTCAACAGTAGAATATGGAGGAATCATGCGTACAGGAGCTGCCGTGCTGTAGTTATCCATGTCTTGGGTAACATTTTGATTGTCTTGAGTTGGTGTAGAGCTGTTGATGTTTTTTCTTTGGTTCAGATTCTTTGTTTTATTTAACTTTCTAAAAAATAAAATACAGAAAAATCTACAAATGACAGAAAAGCTAGGGGAAATAGTGAATGATGATGCACCATTTAGGAATAAAGACAGTGGCATTTATTTTTTTATATTAGATACAGTGGAAGAATAACTGAAAATAACACTTCAAACATTAAATCAATAAAGGCAATAATACTAAACAGCAAAGAGTCTTTAATAGATATTGGAATTTTCATGAACCAATCCACCCTACCTCACTAAAGCACAGATGACCATGAGCATAATCAACACCACCCCACCACATGTACCAATTATGATCCACAGGAGGTATTTGTCCAGACAATCTGAAACAAATGAGGTTATCAAACTGTATGTTCACTGTCAGTGCAGAAAGTATATTCTTTTAATGCACACCCTCCAGAGTGAATAGATTCTCAGTTTTGGAAATGGGATATACCTTTAATTCTTTAAAATCATATTGAGTTGGATAATCACTGATAGAAATTCAAACCACAAAGTTTAACATAATTATCCAGGAACACCACCCACAATCAAAGGCTATTCCAGGTCCATGCACCCATCCCTCACAGCTCCTGTATAATAATAATACATGTATATGGCTGTGACCATCCTCACTTTACTCACCTGACACTTGCACCTGACTATGTACTGTCACTGTACTGCCAGTGCTAGGGCTACTAGTAGTATAGACAGAATGTGTTGCCTGCTCATCAACATAAAATGGCCCTAAAATAAGAAGAAGAAGAACAATAATAATTACAATAAGTTTAATTGTAACATAGAGTTCACTAATTTACATACCAATCTAATTTAGCCTATTAAGAAAAAGAAATGCTTGCCTTTGATTGGAAAATTCAGCTTAATCTAAGGGTGCTTTCCCAGAGATTTAGATCGATCTAAAGATTAAGTTTTAGATCGACCTAACTCCCTGGGGGTTCAGGCTAAATTGCAGTCAGCCGAGTGGACACCATAGTTAATTACCCCCTTACAGCTTTTAGTAGGCAGGACAGACGCTTAAGCCGGCCAAGCTGACAGTAATCTAGTGAGACTCCCCACAGGGATAGATCGATCTAAAAATCTATGGAAATGGGGTGTAATATTTACAGTAAATCAAGTAACCAAAATTGAAGACTGCCAGTCAAATTCACAATTATTTCTTATGATCATTGAATATAGCTAGGATAATTGATTTTTTCTCATATTTCAAACAAAACCTCTGTCACAATCATCATAACAAATAGGGTGTGGGACCAAAATTTCATCTGCACTTTCAGTTCTCTCTCTCCCAGATGCGACTTTAATTTTTAATGGTGCAACTGAGGCATTTCGCAGTTCTGTCATAATGGAAATTGCTTTTGTTGGTCTGAGGGAAATATTTTCTCTAGTTTGAAAATGGGGTAGGCTGCAGCTGCTCTATTGTATTGCATTGTTTTCATGCAGGTTGGGTTAGACACAGAGCTGACCCAGTATGTGAAATACTCACCATATTGACAAATAAAGGGAAGCAACCAAATATTATGTGGAACACTGCTATTTAACCACCTTCCATTATAACTTTTAAGAAGTATTACTGAAAGGAAAAAATTGAAATTTAAGCTTACAACTAACAAACTATGTCTGTTATCTGGAGAAAACAGTGCTGCTGGAGATTTTAATCAATTAAATTTCAATCCCATGCATTTATATATTTTTTCGAAAATTTTTTTATTACTGTTTTACTAAACTAACAATATGACAATGCAGTAAGATGATTTGGAGACAATTACATGTTTCATTTGCAATACCTGTTTCCTGCAATGTGTGGAAATATTCAAATCCAATTTTCTCTGCCTGCCAGCCCAGGTACTGGACCACACCCTCAACACTGGTGTCCACCAATGTCCCATTCTGTCTTTCACAAATGCTTTTTGCTGCTCCCCATTTCGTGAAGTTCAGTTGGAATTCATAACAGTAGTTGTGGAAAGTTGAAATCAGTGAACCTTTTGGACATAATGATGAGGGTATTGCTGAAATAAACAAAAACATGCCATTTGATCCTTTTCCCAAATAAAGGAGCAGCTTATCGAACTTTTCTAATGTCTTTTGTAACATCTTCAGTTCAAATACCCTATTTCTTACAAATATCCTTTTTTCGATTACTACTCCTTCTAAAACTTTGCTATTTTCATGCAAAAGTAAATCAAAGATTGAATGCATGCATGTATGCAACCACTCGGATGAAGGGGCCATTCCCAGACCCTATCGTACTAACTGTGGTTAGTATGATCGCCAAGGGGATTCTCGCTAAATTGCAATCAACGTAAGCGGCTTAGATGTCTGTCATGCCTATTGAAGCTGCTGGGGGGTAATTAATTATCATTTAGCAGCTGCAGTAGGAGTGCCAGATATCTAAGCCACTTGTCAGCTGAAAGTAATTTGGTGAGAAAACCCTTGGAGATGGATCGATTCTGTTACATGTACTGTAGATGGATCTAGGTATGGGAACCCAGTCTTAATCACTCTGAAAATATTGTGAATGGTACTAAAAAATTGTCAGTGTTTCCAGACAATTATAACAAAAATATCTACTTCGATTAATCAAAAATTATTGATGAGTATAAAAGAAACCAAGCATTTTGTAGTGCTTTGAACTCGTTTTAACAATTTTCAAATCAAGGTGTGAACTTTGCATCCAAGAAAGAAGGTTCCCTCAAACCTACTGGGTTTCCCACACTAAAATATATGGCAATGACTCAATCTTTTCAGATACATAATTTCATAATCACAAAAATATATTTCTGTGAAGCATAGAATATAACCAGAGAAAAGCTTGGTTTTTAATTTTGCTGCTACTACTTATTAGGATTGTTCTATTTTTAAGTTATGACTTAAAAATAAGAGTCTGTAAATAGTCTAGTGGGATTTCCACAAAAGATGAATAGTAGGGGCATTTTGGGGTAAAAGTTGGGAACCAGGCNCATGTGTAGCCTGTGTGTACATGTGTAGCCTGGTGTGTTACCTAATTACCATAGAACTCTCGAACCAATTGATGCATGCAGTTGCATGTTCTGTGGTCAGAAATGGGAGGGTGACAGTCTAGTGGGATTTTTGAAAAAAAAGGCTCTGCATAAGAAGCAAGGGGCATTATGGGATAAAAGTTGGGAACCAGGCTTATTAGCATAACTTTTGGCATGCTGAATCCGATTAACTCGGTTCCCAAGTGACATTTTGCGTTTTAACTGTCTTATCTGCGAAATCAAAATGGCCGCCAGATTTCCAGTTTTCTGCAATATCTCTGTAACTAGACAGGCGAATATGACAAATGAAGTGTCTTTACGTATATTTTCAGGGTCGAGGAACATTATTAAGAATCTGTTAGAATAAGATTTATACAATATTCCGAAATATGCAAATTAGGACCGCCATTACTTAAAAAAAAAACGTTTTACTTCTGTATCTCTGTAACTAGGCAAGCAAACATGACACATGAAGTGCCCACACCTATGTTCTCAGGGAATGTTATAAATCGGATGTCTTGTCTGATGGGTCGCACTGACTTTGTGCGTCGTGTCCGAGTAGCATCTTTGATTGATTCTTCCCTGTATCTGTCAAACAATCTACTGATGCTTAGAACCTGCCTTCAGAATTGCTCTTACGTATGGGTCAGCCAAACTACCAAAGGTCATTGCATTGTCAGGCTTTCACAGTGAAACTACCAGTTATAAGGCAAGGTGAGGAGTCATTCAGTTCAATTTCATCAGGGCAGACTACGTCTTCTGTTAACATTTCTGCTAGTACGGATTTGTTCCCGGTGCATAGTGTACCATTCATTTCAGCAAGTGATGCAGGGACTGGGAGAAGTTCATGCTTAAAGGCAGATGGCAAGTCAACTGCCTGATTTGCCTCGTAGGATTCCCCTGCAGTTTCTAATGTCTTACAGAGACACGCCCAGACTGGTACACCAGCACAGAGACCACGGCCAGGATGCCCTAAAGTCACCACCAGAAGGGAAGACCGCTTGCTTCTGCAGTTATGTCGCAACAACCGGACAAAAAACACTCGTGCTCTACAAAATGAGTGGCAAATTACCATTCAAAAGAGTGTGTCTAGAACCCAAGTGCCGGTTACCATGCTAGGCGACCTCAAAGGAAGCCTCTATTAACAGAGCAACACCAACGTCTGCCTCAACGGTGGACTACACACCATTTGTGGTTCCAGCCACAGCACTGGGTTCATGTGGTTTTTACAGTCGAGGCAAGGTTTGAGCTCCACTGCCGCGATGGCCGAATTAGAGTCCGTTGGTTTCCAGACGAGGTACTGCACGAGGCTTGTGTCAACCTTACAGTGACTGGTGGCGGTGGCAGTATCTTTGTATGGGCCAGTTTCCACGCTGGAGCCAAAACACCATTGGTGGTAATTGATGGAAACCTCAACCAGATGAAATACAGGGACATGTTAGAGAATACTTGCTTGCCATTTGCAAGAAGGTACTTCCAGGACAGCTTTTTCCTGCAAGATGACAATGCCAGACCACACCGTGCCCATGCAATAACTGCTTTTCTGCAAAACAAAGAGGTAAACCAGTTACCTTGGCCATCGAATTCCTCTGACATGAATCCAATACAGAACCTGTGGGCAGAAATCACTCGCAAAATCAATAGCTTACCGGTCCAGCCTACAAATCTGCACCAGCTTAGACAAGCTCTGACTGATGCGTGGAACGCAATACCGGATCAAACTCTCAGAAAGCTCTTTTCAGGTATGCCTCGCCGAGTGAGGGCTCTGGTTGCAGCTAGAGGAGGCTGCACGCATTATTAACTGTTTCCATTTTAAAAATGTGTCTTGATGATTATTTTGTTTAAGAGAAAATCCTTACCATATGTATCATATGTACCATATGTATATTCTTATATATTGTGTAAATAATCTAGTCTAGTGAGCCTGCAAATGTGTTCTTATCATTTAGTGCTCAATGAACGTATTATTATTATTATCATATTAAATGTCAAGTCTGTACATTGCATCACACGAGTTACTTGATTCAGCAAATCGCCCCATTGCATTAATAAGGGAATCACCTTTTTCAAATCTAGGTAAAAGGGGCAATTGTGTGGTCCAATGTTTACATCTCAATGGCAGCACAGTATTTAATTGCCAAATTATATACAAATAATTGCTACAGTGTGACAGTGTAGCACTTATTACTGATTTGGTTACAGTGGAAATGTCTTAAACACTCTCCTTGACCCTGAAAAACGGGTGTGGGCACTTCATGTGTCATGA